AACTAGACAATATTTGACTGAGACTTTTCAGAAATTAGGAATCCTTACAGTCTTTATCTTCACACACAAGCAGAGGTTCTGTGGCCTGCAGAGTTCCTTTCAATCCCTGTGACCTGTGTTCAAAATTATAATCCCAAGGGTTAAAAGGCCATTGGAAGCAATGGGCTCTTTGAGTTGTCCAAGCACACATATCATGAAGTGCCTTCTCCTTTGCATGAAACAGGAAGACATAGCACAGTCTCGAACAGGCAAAGAGAAGCAGCTGGGGGCCAAGATGTTCAGAAATGCCTCAGGGTTCAGAGTACCCACTTGCTGCTAAAAAGGAGCATCCAAATGCTGCTGCTACTGTCTCTTTGAAGAGTCAAGAGAGACTCTGCAAGGGCTTGTGCTGGAGTTTGAACCAGAGTCTTTTGCATGCCAGGCTCTAGTTCCTCAGTCTTGGATTAAGAAGTCTAAGCTTTTTATGACTGTCTCCAAAAAATTAGCCTCAGTTCTGAGTGTGGGACCTCAGTGTATCAGGAGACCAGGGCAGGATGGGCTGCTTCTTCCTTCAGCAAAGGAAGGGAGGCACAGAGATACGAGTGGCAAAAGACCCCAAACGCAGTGACTCACTTCCTGCCCTGACCTCCACAGAAGAAAGGACTCTCTTCCAGCCACACCTGCCCATACCCATACACAGCTCAGGGCAAATTAAGTCTGAAACATAAGCGCACAGTGTGATGGAACAAAAGAAAAGATGTTGCAGATCTCCTAATCCCTTCTCCCTCCTCTGTGCTACCATGACCTGCCCATGTAACACTAGGAGTACTCAAGGATGAGATTTGAAGGAAGAACCAGTGGATTCTTCCACCCACTGAAGTACACTGATGTTACAACTTGTATCTCTGTCTTCAGGGCACACATTCCTAAGAGTATTTACAACTGGCTGCAAATTCTACTTTTTCCCACCTTAAGGATATCCAGCCACAAGCTGAACATTATACACATCGCCACGTGCTGCATTTTACAGTTTCCTTTTTGCTTGGGACCACTGGAGCCACCAGTTTGCTGAACTGTCCAAATTACTAACCTTTTGGAAAGAAAAAAAGAAGAAAAAAAAAAGAGCATAAGCACTTCCCAAACATGTAATTACTTCTTGCAAGTCCAGTGGCTTTACTGACACTCCTTGGACTTAACGTCATCAATAACAGAGTATTGTTACCAGGAAAAGTATTTGGTTTCCTGACATTTGAGATTTTGCTGACTACCCATAATGGGTGACCAAAGAAGCCATGCAGGTCTCCAAAAGTAAGAGGTCGTTCACATGAAATATACGTCATTTCTGAATGACTAATGATATTTGTTAGACCAATGTATAAATTGCCTTGTAAGCTCCATCTCATAAATTGTTTTCATCCCACTGTAGAAAACTCCATTGCTAGCTACAGGATTCACATTCCATTGTACAGAACTTGTCTATGCTCTTGGGAAACAACTGTCACTCAGTCTTTACTTAGGGAGCCCTTTACTGTGTCGTTACTGCTGTAAGAGATGTTACTAATACAAAGTGAAATGACTTGCCACACCAGGGAACCTGTGGTAGAACAGCAGTTCTGACGGGCTCTAGAAAGCCTAGAGGAACAGTCAGCGCATGGGGTGCAGGTCAGTACTGCAGCAAGCACATGGCGAGGCTGGTGCCAGAGGGAGCATGGGGACATTGGAAGGGTACCATATGAGTAGTAACAGCTCACAAAATACTGGGGTTAAAAAAAAATTAAAAAAAAAAATCTTACAGACAAATAATTTATCTGCGGCCTGAAACTAGAAGACAAAATTGTTGAGTTCCTTTCAGCTCGGCTAACCTTTAGGCCAGCCTTGAGATTTTGCAGTGACTAGGACTGGCTACCCTAGGGGTTTCCAGATACTGGGGTGTTCACTGTGCCTGTCTAATGCCTGCCCTCTTTTGGCACACAGGGACAATTACTGCCCTGCAAAACTGTCACAGGTAAGGCTGGGGGCACAGGAGTCAAGTAATGTGGCAGAAGCATTGGTGGCCACATGTGGGCTCCCAAGGCAAGTTAAATTCTCACCCCAGAACAATTAGGGCTTTGCAAAGACCCCTGGGTCCTTCCTTTGAGCAGCGCTAAGGTCCCTGCAGCATGCACTCATCAGCTCTGCCTTCACCTATGGAATGAGTCTTGCAGCCACCTCTCTGGGTTGTTTGCACAGCCTGGCCACCAAAGCGGTGACCCCTTGCAGACAATCCCAACGGCACAGAGACCAACATTTCATAGAGGGAAACCAAACCAGACAGAGGCAAAAACCCCAAGTCCCTGATGTTATCAAGCTGTGTACTTCCTCCAGCTTATCACCTGGCATGGCGTGTATCAGCGGATGTGACCTTTCTTAAGCCTCTCACGGCAAACCTGAGTCACTTTGATGCACTTCTAAGTCACAGGAGAATGTGAAGAGAAAATGCAGGAGATAAAGGATCTGGGGTAGCCACAGTAGCAGAAACTTGTCATATATTTGAAGGGGGGAAAAAAAAAAAAAAAAAGAGAGACAAATGAGGAAGTGAACATAAAAAGCATAAACTTACAGACCTGTGGTTTGGTTCTTTTCTTTAATTGTACTAACTGAAATTGTACTGAAACATGAAACACATGTTAACTGCCAAAGCTGCAGCCTGAAAGAAGCGTTCAAGAACTTCAAAACCCAGCTCATCTATATAATTTTTTTCCAGCGTGGCTCTCAAATACCATCTGTTCTTGTCCTAATCCTTCTCCAAAACTGAATACAGCAAAGCAATAAGCAAAACAAACCTCCATTTTAAACAAATAGCCTTGTTAAAACTCCAGGCAGCCATACATGATAGCCTCACGTGTAGGAGAGAAAAAATTGTGTAGATAGAAATCCCACAGACAAGAGGGGTTGGTTTTTTGTTTGGTTTTCCTTCTGTTTTTTTTGTAGCACTCTGACCTAATCTCTATCTGTAGCTAATTACAAACAATGTAAGGGGCTGGCCATGTGGCCTGTAACTCATGTCTAGTGCAGCTGAAAGTAAGTTAAATTATTCATTAAAAAATGGCATTATTCATACCCAGAAATAAAAAATTATAGGAATTATTAGTCAGTTTTAGAGATGGTTCTTAAAATAATCAAGAGGCCAAATTTTAGTGACAACAATCACGCAGACAGTTTTGCATGTGCTTAAGTGAATTCCTGAATCAGGGCGCTATGGCAACAAAGATGCCTTGAATTTACAAATCATATAGGTTTACCAAGTACCCCTAACTGCCAATACAGTTCACACTAAAACCAGAGTTTGCATTGGTTTGCAGAGTAAAAGAACTAACACCTCAGCTTACTGCATTACACTGGAAAAAATTTCCAGTACAGCCTTATCTTTATCAGCTTAGAGGAAGCTGCACAACTTAGACCGTCTTTCTCTCAAGTGCCTGAAAAAGGGGAAATCTGAACAGCTGAAAAACAGGAACTTACTTTGTGACATAGGCCCATACCTTTGAGAAGGGAAAGTTTAATTTCTGGCACGTAGGAAGACAAGCACAGGCAGAATGCAGCACCAACTTGTTCAAGATTCTCTAACTATTTTTAACTACTTCCTGCCATTTTAGGGAGGATTAGAACAAAAAATCCAAGCAAGTTTTTCACAGAAGGGTGACAAGACTGAACATGACAATGAAAAAAATTGTTATTCCTTTATTTAGAGTGAAATATCTTTAAACAAGCATTAGTTTATTAAAACCAGCAATCTACCACCACCCAAATCCTCAAAAAAATCAAATCATAAATGCCTCCAATCCTATCAAATGTTACTATGGTTTAACTCTTCTGATAGGATTATACATCCCGGCACAGTGACCAAGTACAGTTCTACAGCAGTACAGCCAGCACAGACTGGCTCACAGGTCCGCATTAGCACAAAAGCCAGCAATTACAGCCTGTGAGGGCTTGCTATTACAGGCCTTCAGCCACACAGCACGCTAAGTTGTCTGCCTTCCGTTTTCCAAATGTTTCCAACTGCAACTTGTCCTCAGCTACCCTACCTCTGCTGTGCACTTCCAGGGTCAGTATCGGTTCCTTCTTCAGCCAGAGGGAACCCATGCCCTAGTCTGCAGGAAATCTCCTGATCAGAGACTGTAGGAAGGCACAAGAACACAGTGCACTCGGGCATCTTTCTGTGCAGCTGAGCCAGAGGGCAGAAAACAAGTAAGATTCATGGAAACAGCGGATGAGCCCACACCACAGAGGAGCTCTGCTGCCACAGCAGCACTTCTGTGAAGGCACCAGCTCATCTGTTCCCGTGGGCTGTGTTTTCATCATATAACCCACAGCCTCAGACAGCTCATTAGTGATCTGCACCTTGCTCAGTTACATGGAATCATGGTACTTGCTTTATTGCCTCTGAAGTGCAGCCTAGAAACTTGATAAGCATAATTTCGGAGAATTTGTTGGGTGTTCCCCGAGATGCATTTCTCAGCTTCATCCATTGCACTTTGCCATCCAATTCACTGCAAGATGACAGCATTTAGACCACAGCACGCTTTCAAAGACCTCTACATTCACAACAGGGGCTCTGTTTTTGAAGGAGCTGAGCCTTAGCATCTTGAGCATCCCTGCAACTCTCAGGTCAGAACCACTGCCAGGCCAGATTTACAGAGAAAAACAATACATGCAGCCTTCTCAAGTTGCACAGAAAGCCAGGGGCAAGGCAGCATGTTAACTCAAAGCCTGCGAAGCTATAGGATTGATCATTTGGTGATCCTGCTTTCTGTGAGAATTATACACACTGGAATAATTTTTTGCTCGTTTGTACTCTCCAATCATACACATCATACACGTGCATCTAGCTACTACCACAATTTATTTCAAAAACTCACTATCACACTTCATATATAATACAAATATTTATATACATTGTATATGCACTTCAAAATAGGAAATCATTGCTAAGTACACCATATGTATAACATATAAGAAAAAGTATGTTTAAAAACATGCTTCTAGACACCAGTTGTATTCTTGAATACATTTCCTGTTGCATATTTTCACATATGCTTTGGTACTGTGTATATAAAATACCTATCGCTAATGAGTTATCCACTGAGGAGTGATATTTGAAGTGAAAAACACTTCTGAATTATATAACTTTCAAGTTTACCTCTTGAACTTTTACACCAAAGTACTTAAATTACGTCAAAAGCTATTCACAATAACACTTCAGGTTTCTCTCAGACACTTTATATTTTGAACTTGCCATCTAAAAATGCGAATGCTTTCCAAAACTACAGACCGATTAACTTGTGGAAAAACATTACAGAAGTAAAATTCCTTTCATACAGACAATGAGGTATTTTAACTGCACAGAGACCAACTCAGGAATACTTCTTCAGTTCTGAACGCAGGTTCCATTGACAGCATCCACAACGTGATCATCCAGATGAATGGTCAGACCATAGTTTAGGCATCTATCCACTGTTACACCATCTCTGCACATCTTTGTTCAAATGCAACCCTTGAAGGCCCAGACAGCACTGTGTTAAGAGTTCAGCTCTTGCCTCTCATCAACAGAGAACATCTAAGATGTTAGTCTTTTCTAAATCATCACAAAATTATCATTCATCAGCAGAAAAACTCTAAATGTCCATGTACATGCTCCTAAGCCTAAGATATAAACAGACTTTCCCCAAATCCAGAGCACTGTCTGGAACCAAACTTGCCTGTGGGTGTCTCCCTACATCCACAGCAAGCAATCAAGTCCCACAAAAGCAGTTTAACCTAAACGATTTTACTGTCGAGATGTCCAAGCTTGACTGAAGCAGCCTTGCTGATGACAGACACACTGAGGTATTCAGCACAACAGGATGTCCACCAAGAGGAAGCACACAGTGTATTGGTTGCACAGGTCTTATAGATAAAACATTAATTATACATGGCAACTTCTAAAGTTTACAGTGCAGACAAGTGGTACTCTACCTTTCCGCCTGTTTTGAACCACGGTTTCCACTAATAATGTTCTAATCAGAAATTACCCTTCACTTTGCCTTCTGGCAATCTACATATTCTACTTTCCACACATGTCAAGATCTCCATGGAGATTTCCAAATGCTTGGAGGTCTGGAGCTACCTGGTGATCATGAGTAATTCCATTTGTTGCCTGACAATGGGGATATTGCTCAATATGTTAACATGACATTTTCTCAATGTACTGGTATGTTTGAAGAAACGCAGAAAGGAGAGAAGTGGCATTGAATAGCCATCTCTCAACAGTCACTTAACAGCTAGCACCAGAATTCTGGTACTATTTTGGTGCACAGCCAGCACGAGAGTTACCAGCAACGACAACTGTCTCTGGAGGCACAGGTGACATAATCACTCAACTTGACCAAGAAGAAATAACTTGAAAAAATGGAAGCACAAAGGAAGCTGGCTAGGTTCATCAGGGGAGATTCTCCACCTAAAGTGAGGAGAGTTCATTTGGGAACTAGACTGAAACACTGGAGATACCTGCACTGAGAAAAGAGAGACATGCTTTGCTTAGCATCTCAGAATTGTAAGACAAGATATGAACTCAGTCATAAAGCAGGTCTTTTGATTTCCCTCTTTTTCTGTCTGCTCAACGATCAGCTCTTACAGCTTCCTAACACTTTTTTTCAGTCCAAAGACAACTGCCTATCACTACATACGGAACTGGCTAGAAATGCAGAGGACTATATCAACTCAGTCCTGGCAACAGGGATGCTGTGCACAGGATCTGCCCAAGAGAGAGAATCACGTGATTCCACCAAGAACAGCTACTCCCATGGGTCCTAATGCCAAAGGGGCCGCTCAATGAGACCCAAAGGAACTGAAGTGCAATTAAACAGTTACACACACCCACACATAAAGCCACAGAATGCGCTGTCACATTACTCGTTACAGTCGATCGGCTCAGAAATGCAGGAAACAGTAACGTAATGTGGAGTCAGTTTTTGATGAGACTAGAATTGGAGTCAATTTGTTCTTCCTGGATAGGAATTCGAACGCTCCTTCCATCTGAAAGATAGATAATAGTAAAAAAAAAAATACTGTACATAGTAGAAGGGGCAGGAAGAGGGAAGCCAGGGACTTTTCTAGTTTCATGGATGACTGGGCACCTAGTGTGCCTAGTGACATTTGGGTCAGTGCTTGTCTTTACAGCCAGTGCTAGGAAACACCAAGTATGGGGAACAGTGAAAATACACTTTACCATTGCTCTATGAATGGAATATGAGGCAGCTGTGGGCTGACTCAAGACCCAGGCTGCCACTTAGTTCTGAATATAGAGTTCAGCTTTTCAGTCAAACCTTTCCTGTGTTTGCAGGAGACCCTTCAAGACCATTCATTTCTATACAGGCAAAAAAGTTCACAATATACTCTTTTTTTAAAGACTGTTGATTCTGGATCCTCGCTGTGCTGAATAGCATTCCCTGCACAAAATCATGACATCATTTTCGCAGGGACTAAGGGAAGAAAAAGCTAGGAGTGGTTAAAATCAGAGAGAGAGAGAGAGAGAGAGAGAGAGAGAGAGAGAGAGAGAGAGAATCCTTCTGCATGGCAACAAACAGGGAGATCGGAGCTCTATAAGAATGCAAACTTGAGACACTATGACCTCCAGTGCATCAGGACTAAACAGAGGACCACCACTGGTATTAACTGCAGATGACACTGTTGCTACTTAGCCAGGTAGACTTCATTATGACTGAAACAATTATCAAAGTTCAAATAGGGGGCCCTGATTATTCTCTTTCCTATACTTTTTTCCCCATAAAAAGAAACTCACTCTGATGGTTGTTTCTACAAGGCCTCTTCTTGGTGTCTTTTTTGGCTGCTTGGATAATCAACAGGAGTATGGACATTCCACTCACCACGAGCAATATCAGACAAATAAGGATAAGTGATAAAGACCCTGGAAGAAAAACAGAAGAAGAATACACTAAAAAACATTCATGGTTCTAGCTAGAGTTTCCATGGCTTTCCAGCTTCAAATGAAGGAACCCAGAACTCCAGAAGTACCCCTGAATCACAAAGCCTAAAAGTCCCAGCTGCCAAGCAGATTAGCAAGAAATCTGGAAACCTGTGTGCATCTCACTGGAAGACTGTATGAAATACAGATACAGCTTCTGAGAAAGTGTGTGATATGATTTCCAATGAAATAATTTTCAGGTGAAAATTTCTGACCAGCTCTAGTAAATACAGAGACTAGACTTGGTTATTCCCTCTCCTTACCCCAGTTAGTCTCTGTGGGGCTGTTTGTATCCGGGCAAATGAAAGGAATCACGCTGGGTCTGGATGGTGAGAACACTGCAGTTGACTTATTATTCTTGTGGTCAGTGGTGGAGAGATTCACAGCAGGTGTGACACTCTGAGAGGTAGCTGGCTGTGTGACATGATTGCTGCAAACAGCATCACCTGTTTTTGTCCCTGGTCGAAGAGTATTTTTCCCAAGAAGGCTGCAGCTAGAGATGCAAAATAAATTAGTGTAGTTTTTCAAACATTTGCACTAATGACTTTGCAAGTGATCTCCATGGAACAAGTGAGAGAACACTACAATCCTTGCCTTATCAATACCAACTCAGGCTTCACCTTTCCTAGGTTCTACAGATATGTGAAGAACAACTAAGCTAATTGAAGTTATTATTGAAAAAAACCTGACATTCTGTTTTTCTTAGCATCTGTACATATAACAGCCTTGAAGCACAGCTGCATTTGGCAAGGGAACCTTTTGCTACAGAAACAAAACACTGACCTCTAAAAAAAAAAAAAAAAAAAAAAAAAAAAGAGGCTGAGGATACTGTTGCCATAGCTGAAGAGAGAAAGGGGAGAAGGCAGACAGATGTTCCAATCAGTACACAGACTGCTCAAGGCTCCTGAGAGTCATGAGGAACACTGTTTCATTGCACCTACTGCAGGTTTACTCTACACACCATGATTTGGGCATCACCTGCTACAGAAGTAAACCCAAAATGTTGCTCTGAACATGTTTGGATAGATGATACATACTTGGTCCAAGGTCGACAGTTTTCATTTCCCCCTAGGGAATAAGAGCCTTCAGGACATAGTGAGCACTCTGGAAAAAAAGGAAGAGGCAGAATTTGAGTCCAGTTAGCAACACAACTATACGACAGCTACATAGTAATCACATTGATAGCTTATACTACTAGTCTAGCTTAGAGAACAGACCCAACAAAACCCACAGAGCCTCTAAAACCCATAGTCATTGGGTCAGAAGTAACACACATGCTCAGTGGTTCATTTTGGTCTACAACTGGCAAGGTTTCCTGTTTTCTCTACCGGCTAATTATGGGTATTAACAAGGAGAACATTAAGATTTCTAACAGCTCAGGAATCACAGAGCAGCAGTTTGCACAATTACCCTGCTGTAACACTTGTGTGGAGGTATCAATGAGACAGCTTTTACACTAGAAATAACAACCATCTCATCTGAAGCAAAGGCGAGAGTTTGGAGTCTTGACATACCACTAACTTACCACTTCCCAGTGTATATCTGACATCTGGCATGTAACCTGCAACACACATGCAAATTCTGTCAGAGGTCTTCTCACACTTCTTCACTTCCACACTTCCCTTCCCTAGCAACAACAGAATAAAGGACAAGTGAAAGACAAGAAATTAGAAAAAAAAAATTTAATTACTCAGTGCCCATCTATCGTGTGTAGAAACGACTGCAGAGAACAGTTTATTAACAATACTGAAGACACCAGTTTTCAGGCAGTACAAGCCTGCTTCCCTTTGAAGGTTCTACCATCAGTACCAGGAGATACCAGCCATTGAAATAACAACCCAGTCTTTGGACTTGGGTCGTCTGAAGTGACGGGCTTTACGACATCAGTCTTTGAGGAGCACACAAAGATAAGAAAGCATATGAAGACTGATTGCCTCCCAAATTCGTATCAAGAAATGACCACTATACCCCTGACTTACTAGTGTTGCAGATTGTACAACTCTTGCAGAAGTTGTGGTTGTGCTCACTACTAAAGTATTCATCTTGACAGGGGGCGCAGACCGTGTCTGTTGTTGCAGTGCAGCGGTTTCTCATTCTTTCACCTAAAACAAAGACCACATAGAAGGATGAACTGATTGTTACCAGAAGGAAACCCTCTTCATTTTCATGTATTAGAATGAAAGAGTGCCCAGAAAGTGACAGTTCCACTCACAACTCTGACTGAAAACATTCAGCAGATTTAGACATGCCAGAATCCCTAGAAGTTTTAACCCATAGCATCACTGTAAATTAAGCAGCTAAAATGGGCTCTCAGGGGCCTGATGAATTGCTGAGCATTGAGGCAATGCCCCAAATGATTCTCCCAGTGGATTCCAAATATCACTTCTCCAGACCACCTTTTCATATGGTTTGGACATCACAATTTGCAGCCATTGTCAGTTCGGGAAAAAAAGCAGGTTTTCAACTTAGCAATAGGTCTGATCTCCGGTGTAATACAATGGCTTTATGACAGATCTTGCCTTCGCTTATGAGATAAATCATGCAATTCAACCCAAAGTAATCCCAAACAGATACAAAAGATGGCAATGGCCTGCTCAGGTTTGCAGAAAATTCATTAGCGAAGAAGTCAAGAATAAATGTTTCTAGTATCTTTCTGTTGGCATTCTGAAATACCATTAGGCACAAAAGAAAGCAGTTGTATTTTGATATGCATCTGTACTGGCACCCAACATCAAAGATGTTACTAGCTCCATCTCCTGAACAGTGAGACACAGCGCAAGATGTAATGCAGGCATTTGTTAGTGTTCCGAACAGTTATGTGTGTATCACACATTGCATTTTGAAACAAGCTCTGAATGGCTGCACCCACAAATTCCAACCTGTATGATACACAGTACTTGCACAGAAGTTCTGTCTGATGTGCTAGGATGATGAGGTTTGTGAGCAAAGCAACTTGCCAAACTGAAACAGCAAGGTAACAGTGGATTCTGGAAAAGGAGTCAGACATGTTCCTTCTATCTGACTAGCCCATCTCCACAGAGCACAGGCTGGAGGAACTATAGACAGCTTTAATGACTAGAGTTTTTACAGTTGAGCTTAAATACATCCTTATTCTCACAGACTGTTTCTTTCATTTTTGGTTCTCCATTTTCCCAGTGTAGATGAACACTGAGCACAAAGTCTCTTGCTCACTCTAATTTTCTCTGCGTTTTATTGAGTGCTATCAGTGGCAAAATACAGATTTTTAGTGACAATATATGCAGTACAATTCTACATTGTTACTATCTACACAATCAGGAAAAGACTATGAAGAAATGTTTCCCTAGCAGCAGCAGATTCGCTAACGATGCAAAAAACTTGATAAAACTTCTTTCAGCAGAAGGAGGAACAAAAAACTTTAGATAAAGGATTATCTGTATCTGCGTACAAGTATGCCATTCTTTAAATTGAGTTCAGAAACACTCAGATTTAAGTAGTTTTGAGAATAATGCAGTAAACTGCCTCAAGTCTTAGATGAAAGGTTGAATTTATTCCAATTGGCATCTTTGAAGATAATAATACTGCATCAGTTCATACCATATCCATTTTGTGTGGCAGACTTAATTATGAAAAGAGAAAGTAGCTATTCTGAAAGATGCACATAAAACCATATGCAAGATTTTAAGTTGCAACTGCATTTACAGACATGATCTACGCTCCCTCTAGGCATCTACATGTTCCCTTTTTTAGTACAGTCGGTATTGACTGTACTAAAAATAATCCCTTCTGTTAAGGGGATTGCCCCCTGAACAGCAATATTACTGGTTAATTGTTGTTAGTCTTCCCCACTAATCATCACATTTCTGTAATGAAATTCCAACTATTAAAGTATTCGAGGTTTGATATTTTGCATTTGTGCTTAATAGTGCATTGTCTTCAGAGATACTCAGATTCTGGAAAAAAAAACCCAGATACGAATGCAGAACCCAGAATTCAGACTCCTTCAGTTTCTACAATAAGAAAGGAGGAAACAAAACACATGTCCTGTCAAGTTACACTTTGCTAATCTCTATGAATCAAGCGTATCTTTTTCCTTTAAAAAAATACCAAGTCTTAAGTAGTATAAACTTTACTACAAAAGAAGGCTTAAAAAACATCTTTAGCAACAGAATTAATTACCTCAAGTTTTGCATTATTATGCAAGATTTCTGAGCTTCTTTATGTGATAGGTAAAGGATAGTAACATAACTGCTACCATCTTTTCTCAGCTAATACTCCTACAATGAAAACATACTAGACTGACACATTAAGGAAGCTGAGCCACACAAAAGAAGTTAAATAACATGTAGCTCTTTCAAAGAGGAGGATTCCTAAATCTAGTATGTTATAGAAATAACCTTTGTCAGTCTAGACTGATATGAAAGCCTCCTCACCAAATGCTTTTTCTCTTGTGTTATGCTTCCTACATTTGAATTATATTTCCATCAAGCTGTTTTCTACCTCCTGTGGGTCATTAACTGATACATATTACATTGAGCAAGTATAACCAATATCCAGGGAAAATTACTTACCAGGGGCACAGTCCTTGCAGCATTTTCCACTGAAAGGATGTTGATGTTCTTTGCATTTCAATCCCAAGCAATGGCTAATAGTGACTACCAGCAGCAAAAACAGAACAGTAGAAAAATATGAGTAAAAACCTACAGCTATCATAATGCAGCCCTACTGTCCCAGCAAAATTCTGAGAGCGGCAAACCCTTGGGGAAGTGATTCTAAACCCCTGGTGACCAGAACAAATTCATATGTCAGTTGCTGGGAAATTCCCAGCATGTGCTCCACATCCTCATCCTTTTGGCCACACCCCACAAACCTATTTTTGCAGTTCACAACTAAAATATTCATAGATAGAAAGACAGCATGCTGAATAGCGTTATGAAAAGATTCCTGTTCATAGCCTTAAAACAGTGCTTCCAGCCAGGTACATACCTCTCTACATAGTATTAAAGCACAGGCCTTGAATGCCGGGAGAATTAGAAGAGAAGATCCTTGGTTTTGTAAAGGGGGAGTATTAAAGCAATACAGAGGTAATGCCCGAAAACCTTTACAGGTGAAAGCTATAGGTACAATGAAACATAGCTCACATAGGCTTGCTCCTTAAAAGGCGAAGTACAGATTCTCTCCCCTTGATTTCACAGTAACAGTTGACCCGTGACTTTCATTGCTGCATAAACAATGTCATTAATACATTTCTCTGCTCAGGGAGCGTGTGGAATCACAAATCATCCTTCATCTTGATATTGCCTTCAGGAGCTAGCAAAAGCTACAAATGAGAAGCATTTCAGTCTCCATTTCAACTCTTAATACCAGACTCCCTGCATTGCCACTGAAGAAAAGTAAGCTCCTGACTCCAAAATAGAGACTTTGTGTTACCCCTACCGTTTGCTCACATGGAAATAAAAGCTTCCAGCAGAGGTGTGCTCTATGAAAGCAAAGGATGCAATATTCACATACCAGCTACTTTTGATGCCTATTTTGTTAACTTTGGAATCTAAACCCCCAGAATGCTTCTCCATCCAGCTCTGCAAGCCAGCAACAATAGGACAGCAATGGAGGAGGCTGATTAGCACACTAGCATTGCAGTCCTGCCCTCACCTAACACACGGATGTAAAGTGATCACACTAGGAATTAGCGGGTTTAACTTTCCATGCTTACTATTAGAATTTTACCTATTTGATCTTACTGATCTAGGATCTAAATTTTAGGTCTTCCAGTTCTAAGAGACTTGAGCAACTCTTACACAAAGGCCCAAGTAAACAAGACATCCTACAGTAATCAAAGGTGTTTTATTTACGTTAGTTAAAAAAACACAGCCAGACTTCCCAGACAAAGTAGATCTACAGTCAATCTACATCTAAATGCAAGGGAGATTTGATTGGAACAGAAATACATTTGGAATCCAAATTAGCCTGCAGTATTTGGGAGGGCTGAACAGCAATATCGTGGCATGTTTTATCCAGAACTGCTGCTTTTCATTTCTTTCTTACATTTCCGTAAGACTGTTGAAGAGTAGAAGGAGAGACAAAAGTCAGGCAAAACAGTAACTATTTTTCTACTTCTATTTTCCAAGCATTTTGGAAAACAACCGCTATGGAAAAGAAGCTACACCTTAAGCCATTCTTTCCAAAAGGGAGTAAAGCTATCAGTGCTGACATACCAGCTGAACTTCAACTACCTTCACACTCAGTACCTGCATGCAGGAAATACCCAAATCTCTTCCCACTGTATCACACAGTGCCATTTAAGTGGCTTTATACCTCATGACTCAGTCATTCCCTCAGCAGTATCTAACCAGATTTTTTTCTTCCCCAATTCTCCTTCACAAACAGTAGCAGACTTTACCTATTCAGTAAGTCAATTATTATTCAGTAAGAAACTGAAAATGCCAACTCCTATGATGTTCACAAACAAGATAAGGTTAAAATTCTGCTATATACATTTAAATGGAAAACTCCCAAAATACTAGAGCAGTCATGATGAAGCATTGATATTCTTGATAAGGATACTTTAATACAAATTAAATGCTCATTTAATAAAAGCAGTTAGCCACATACCATCTTGAGAATTCAGCTTTTATGTATGGCATCCTTAAGTGTTACCAGGCTTGCTATTGCCAGATTCCTTTATATGGCCATATTATGCAAGAAAATAAAATGGAGAGAACACAGTGATTACCCCATAGCATTTCACAACTAGCACGCTTTTCGGCTGGATTTTCACTCATGCAAATTAACCTCTCCCAAATGCTGCTTGGCACTGCCATGGGGATCATATGTCACAGGCTGCTCCCAAAAAACAGCCTGGAGTCAGCTACTCTGGTTCTAATAGGAGAAGAGAGCTTCAGAGTGGTGAGTTGAGCCATGCTATGGGTCAGAAATAAGAACCTGTCTGCTTTTATTTAATATACATGTATCATTTTTTACTATAGATGCTTATCCTAGATATTCTATACAAGCTTTTGAAATCTGGAAAAATGAAACATGTTCATGAGACAGTAGCACTCAGATACCAAGTCCTATTAACACTAGGCAGATCGCTTGTGTACATGAAAAAAACAAAACACCCAAAACTGAACACAGAACTCCTAACTAGTGCTTAATGAAAGGCTTTAAAGTCACTAGATTCCTTCGGGATTACAGGCAAGTAAGGGTTCACCTATGGGAAAGGACCTACAAGAATCTGAGAAAGACTGAGTGCATATAAAATACTTAGAGAATTAAAAAAAAAAAAAAAATAAGTCTATGGACAAACTAGAATAGTTTGAACTTCCAAAATTCCAAGACAGGAATAATCTCAGGTACCTCCAAATCTCACCGTGCAGTCCACTTTATCCTTACAGCTGTTAGTTAACATGTGATCCTGATTTCTGGCAGAGAAAAACAAAACACATTAAGGTGCAGAACTCCATGCACACATTAAAAATGAATTTTTCACAGTTGTTTCTCAAGTTTCAGATTCATCAGGTATGTGGCAAATACCACAACAACAGTACATATTTTAACATTTTTGCAGTTGCTAGCTAAATACTGTGTTACCTTGTATTTTTCAAGGGATTCCATGCTCACATTATCAGAAGATTAAACTAAGACTGCATATGCATAATTTTTGCCTCTACTGACAGACAAAGTTCCAAATTACATCATCGTATTTCAGCTGCTCAAGAATTCCTCTGCAAACTAGCACTTGCCTTCTTAGCATCAGGTGTGACAAGATAGAACTTGTCCACTCAAATTGTATCTAAATAATTGAATTGCGCAAACAACTAGAGCATAATACAAAAAAGCAGGCTGGATATTTACACAATTATCAACTAATATTGCTAAAACTTTTGTCTTAACTAGATTGCGAACAACCACATTGCAAAACTGTATGTTTACATGTATAATTTTGTGTTAGTTCAAAGTGCAGGTCATTGCATATTTATGAAGCCTTAGTTAAAACAACAGCAAAGCAAAACCTAGACCTTTTGCCAATCAATCTAAACCAGCCATACCTATGACTTCTGCTAAGCACCCCATTTTTACAGACATGGAATTTTGTTTTGAACATCTCCAGATTCTAGCCATATTAAAATCTCACCACTCTGCAACCATGTGCATGTGGGGCATTGGCACAGAGGTGGAAGGGAGTGGAGGCTGACTAAAGTGGCAGACGTTCTAAACTCATTTTAACACGAGATTATCAACTGGATTTATCCCTCTCTTACCGTTCTTTCAAAATCATATTTTAATTTGTCTGTCCTCTGAAGAATTTCAATTTTTCCCACTTACTGACAAACCTAAGAACAGCAACATTTCCAAAGCATGGAGAAAAATATTTAATGAGAAAAGATATATGTATATAAAAAGACTCTGATACAAGCCATTTAACAAAAACAAAAAAAAAAAAGAAGAGAAAGGGAATACTGAGACAGAAACAGACAGCAATACTTATATTTACATTATATTAAGAGAATAAATTTAATCAAATATAACATCTCACTTGGATTTTCAGGCAACCCTTCAGAAAGAGGGGTTTTTACTGTAAAGATGGAACCAGAGTAAAAATAAATTTTCTATTTTAGACAGTAGTGGATATGACCCTTGTGTTGCAAGACACTTTCAGAGATTACCCAAAACCAGACTGATTAAAAAGCTTCTCACGCGCTGACTGCATGTTGCTCTGGCAAAAGCAGTTCAAGCAAAGCCTGTATTTCCCCTAGCTTCACCATTCATGAGTTCATCGGCATCATTAAGTTGCAGAGGCAAGTAATGACACTAGTTTTAACAATGAGTTTTAGTTAAGCAGTAATCACACACCTAGGTGAATCCCATTGCTCTGTCCAAAATCTTTAAGTCCACAAAGAAGCCTTCCCCATGAAATTTGATTTTTTGAAAACATAAGCAATCTTAAGTCTCTCACATTACCAGTGCAGTTGCAAACGCAAAGCTTGTCACGCTATAACCAGTATTCTTTTTAAAGCAGATGCAGAAGTTTCTCTGTAACATTTAAAATAAGTTCTTCCCCACAGCTCCTAAAGGTAGTCAGCAATGGAGGGAGAACTTGTATTAAATTCTCAACAATATGTAAGTAGGTTGAGAAGCATTGAGAAAAATACTGGAAGATTAGCCCATCAGTCTATGTATGGAAATTCTCATGAGGTCAGAACACATGTATTTGAACCACAATCCCCTATACAAAAGCCAACATCTTTCAGTGTTATTTGTGATTTCCATGGATCAGCAGCTATGAGGGCAGCAAGAAGAGTTAAATATTTAAGAAGCCTCCACCAAATATGATTAGCCAAAAGCAGCTGAAACTTCAGCTGGATTAACCGTACAAACCAGGGCAAACAGATGCAGTCCAATACCTGCCCCATTATTTTTCCCTCATACCGAAGGCAACAGAGCTGTAGATCTTATGTGTGGACGGAAGGTTTTAAGTCTAGGACAACACACTGTAGGCATGTAACACAGATAGCAGCAAAGTAACTTTTTGTCTGTTTGTGGGTTGGACTTCTTTTTCCTTTTTTTCTTTTTTCTTTTTGAAAGCAAGAAAGTGCTTCAGAGCTCTGGAAAAGCGAGCAGGATCAGAACTCCTCATGGACGTTACGTGCATAGTCCATAAGCTTGCTGCCTGTGAAGTATTCACTATATTTCAGGATCTCCTCCAGCTCTAAGTGATGGTTTTGATTTTCATCTGCTACTGCTATCATTTGCTTCGCTTCATTTAGGGCATTGTATTCATTCATAGGATCCATGTATTCCTAAAACAAATAAGAAAATTTTCAATCACTAAGCACACATTTCCACACATCAGAATTATGAACCTTAGCTCTACATAAGCTTCAGCAATTACGAGACCAACATAAGCCATCCCAAAATCAACGTAAGTCATGGAAAAAGGTGTTAGCACATCTTTTTAACAGGCTTACATCTATCTCCTAGCTATTCTTCCATTCACTGCTTCCTTGGCTGTTCTAACAGAAATCCAGATTTTCTCAGCTTATGCTAGTGTCTACAATAAAAATTTTTGACATTTTGGTTGCAAACTAAACTCACTATCAAATCTGGTGTTTTTTGTGAAGAAGTATCAATTCAAAATTAAGAAGTGGCTCACTATCAATCTGTATGACCTAAATTTTCTTGTTTCTGGGGACAAACGTTTTAGAACATGTTCAATTTAGAACTTTCTTGTTCCATTTTATGCCGCCAGGCAGACATTAGAGAGGTCAGAAGTCTCAGAAACAAAGCTTTTTGCTCTTTCAACTAACTTGAAATAGATTAAAAGTTTTCAAGCAGTGCTCTTCAGTTCATGATGTAGAAGACTCAAGATTATCTTCAATTTCTTCGCAGAAGATGTGACATATATATGTGCGTCTATGTGTGTAGACGTATACAAAGACTTCACAGATAAAACGGGTATTTTTAAAAGAAAATTCTCAGAAAAAAGCTATTAACATTGTCTATGTCACAATATAACTGTTTATCCATACTATCACTATTGTTCATCTCACATATTTGCATACTAAGAAGGTTAGGAACTTTAACATTCATCCTCTCTCAGGGAGAAAACCACTATTTCAGAGGTTCTCCTTTCACACTGCCCATGCTGCAGTCTGAATTCTGCTAGTCAAAATACATTTCTACATCCAGAAATGAAAAAAAAGCCAGAATGAGCCATAAGCCTCTTCCATTGGCCACAAAACTGCCACAACTATAGGGTGCAAAATATTTCATGCTGTTTGGTAAACTCTTCTGCAGACAGAATTATTAGAAGAAAGCCTTACTTCTGCAAACCAAAGTCCAAAAAGGCCACAAACTAGAATGCACGCTTGAAAATAATATTTTTTTCTTTTTTTTAGAGAAGAAAAAACACTCTGAAAGACAAGATATCTCTGCTATTTTCTAGGCTACTGGGGCCCCAGGGTTTGTTAGTCCTTGGTGGTTTTTTTTGATTTGTGTTATTTTTCGGGGTTTGTTTGTTTGTTTTCTTTTTCTTTTCTTTTTTTTTAATGAATATATAGGTTGCCATTTACTCCTTTTGCAACTGAAAGTATGACTCATTGTCCCATTAACTACTGCACCTAATGAAGTCTGTGACTTGCTTTCATGCACTCCATATCCATACAAGTGTCTTATGTGACAAAATCCTAAAAGCATACCTTTGAATAACAGGTACGCTAGGAAAACTCCCCCTCCTCTTTAATAAAAAAACATAACAACACTATCTGCAAGCACTATAAAACAATACTATAATCCAAAGTTTTGTAAAGTAGACACACACACCATACTGTTAATTCCAATATTTTTGGACTTCATATTCTCTAAAGCAGTTTAAATCCTGTATTTAAAAACTAACTGTTGGTTTTAAAGACACTAGAACTAACTATTTGAGGAAGACATACCTCAAGCTCTTCCATTGTGACAATACCATCATGGTTAGCATCAATGACCTCCTCAAATTCCTTCCTTCTGTCTTTTACCCAGTCATCATCAATATCTTGAGCTTGCTGGTTCTCCACAGTACCAACAGGTAATGAAATGAACTCTGAAAGGGTAAGTTTCTTATCTCCATCTTGATCTACAATAGAAGTACATAGTAACTGAAAAGTATTTGCTTAATGACAATTAAAAATGAGAAATTCCTTCATGTCAAGAGATGTCATTGGTACAGCCTGCCTGGTTTCAGCAGTCCACAATCCTGACTCTAGTAGTGAAGAACAGTTACCATTCGTATCTTTGGTTAGCCAAAACCTCTCTGTATTATGGTACACACACAATGTTTTCTAAGGCTAAAAAAAACATATGCTCATCAATATACTAAACAAAAATAAGTTTTCTGGATCTGAAGGACACACCAGGTGGGAAGCTCAGCTTTTTTTTTTTTTTTAATTGTTGATGTTTATTTTTTCAGCAAACTACTGCAACAGACATTTTCTTAGAGCTTTTTTTTTTTTAATTGTTGATGTTTATTTTTTCAGCAAACTACTGCAACAGACATTCTTCTTTCTGTCTTTCTTAGAACACTTGTATCCAGTGTTCCCTTGTATTAGCATTCAGGTAGATTAACCCTCATAAAAGACTGCGTACTGGAGTTGTTCTGTCTCTGTGCGTCACACACTCGAGTATCACTGGAAACTCTTCATATTTATTAAGCTAACAACTAGCAAAGTCATAGTTTCTTTTTTTTTTAAATCCAAATGTTCTAGCAGTTTTAAATATGCATCACTACAGACTTAATAGAAAAAGTGTGCCAATACTTAAGAATTTTAAAAAAAGTTTTCTTAGAAACCTCAACCATTTATTTCCACTTTTATGACTGTACGTCACAATGCTTACATGGCTGCTGTACTGGGGAAGTACAAAGCAATTAATGCCCTCCTCACAGAACATTCACATCAATGTATTTTACAATATTTTACTATTCATCAAATCTTTTCTCCTATTACTACAGTGACCCTACAATTGATCTTTGTATGAAGTACTCAGAATATCTAATGTATAATGTTGTGCTGGTTTTTAACAACCAGAGACTAAATTTAGTCTTGAGAGATGCACAGACAACTCTACAGAGATGCCAGCATTTGTGCTAACAGTTTGGTTTTCTTACTTATCATGTTAGAAGATGTGTAGAACAGAGCAAACAAGATGTGCCAAGATTTCAGACTGACCCGTGACAGTGCAATGACCTAACAACATCTACCCAATAAAATGGTTTGCAAGTAAACAACTCCCAAGAAACATGTTTTAAAATGGCATACCCAAATCTCGGATGATTTCTTTCACCATGAACTTCAGCATTCCTCTACTATGCTCTGGATGAAGAAAAGACAAGAATTCTTCTTCATTCAACAACAGATCAGGAGGTGGGTTGTCAGCTTGGTACCACCGATCCTTCAGGTTATCTAAAACTTCCTGTGCTAGAAATTTAAGAAGAAGATTTAAGCTATCATGTTCAACCTATGTGAAGTTCTTAAAATACATCCTCCCCTATCACTCAATTGTTTAAACAAGGATGAGCTATGAACCAGTTATTTTACAGTTCAACTGCCAGGGAAAGCAGGTGCTGAGGGGAAACAAAGTGCAGTTAGTTTCGTCTAGTTTGTGCTGAAACACTAGGAAAGATCCTTTAACCAAACAACTGAAATGAAATTAGGAGACAAAAATAAAGATTTAGCTACACCTGCATCAAAGCTTCAACATATCAAATGAAAAGTATCATCCTACCAGTAGTGTTAGCTGGTTATGGTAGGAGGTATGAATAATCCAACTTTGTTCAGGACTTCTTGTTTTCCTTTCTTCTTTTCACATTCTGAAGCCTACTACCAACAGAAATCTTTCACCTGCCTGAATAGCAGTAGTACCTTTCTTCTGAACAAAATCGTTTTTGTTTTCTACCTCAAACCAGTCCTGTGCATTGAAATAGCCAAAACATTCTTCAAATTCAAAATATTCTTCAGATTCACTATCTCCATGTACTGCAGTTGTGACATCACACACCTAGTTAATATCTACAAGAAAGATGTCAACCAATTCTTTTCCTACCCAAATAATAACCCTTTAACAACAAACCCTTTAACATTTATCATGTTTTCTTCTAAGACCAAATAACACGGCAATCATTAAATCTAGAAAGATGCTTCTGATCTGTGAAGCACCATTGTACCAGTGCTTTGGCTAACAGCCCTACATAGGTTTATTCTACTCTGCAGCACCTGTTAAGTCTACCACAGGTAAGAAAATATTCTTTGCCAACATGGCAGTTCCAAGCATAATCAAAGGGACACATTTCATTACTCCAATGGTAAAACACTCAACTTTTCTTATTTCAACTTGGCATTTCTTAATACAACATTATCTAAACCAAAACCAGTTGTATTATTGTTTTGAACTCTTTTTAGATATGTTCAAGCTCACAGGATTTGAGTTAAAATGGTACAGTGATCTACCACAAAGAGGTGACTGAATTACACATACTGCGCACAATTTTAAATGCAGAGTTTTTTTTCTCCAGCCACACCGCAATTCCAGATAGCACCCTGGCCCTCCACAAAACTACATACATGAATTAAGCTTAAGAATTGTATTAAACAGATTATAAAAAAAGAAAAACCAAAGCCTAGTTTTTACAGCAATCAACAATACATTTCAATGGACAGCTGTTCTTTGTAAACAAAGCACCCACTGAAAAGGGATTATAAGCAAAGCCATAAAAAGCAGAGGACTAGGAAAGCTATGAAGACGCTTCTGTCTGCCCTGCCTCTGCTCCTCCCTTCTTCCTTCACCCTGTCAAAGGCTCAGAATTTAAAAGAATCGCCTACCCAGAGAGAACTTATATCCTTAGACTCGGATACATCATCCAGTATTTCAGCCTACAAATGTGATTTGTTGGAACTATGAGAGATTTAAGAGGGTAGCTCTACAAAATAAAGTTTGGAAACATCAAGAACAGATGCTAAGCTAAGCACTAAGAAATGCATTTAGCTTTCAGTTTCTTAAGGATACAAGTATTTATTACTCCTTTTAGCTACCTTGTCTATTCTTTATCAGAAAGCATTCTGACTTCAGACCTAAACCCTGCATATGTTTTAGTTATCACTATAATTTAATAAAGGGAAATATTTTTGCTGCAAGGAGCAAGTGCAAGTTGAAGTACACATGTACTATCAGATACATCAGCACCAAAATCACTTTACATTTCCACTTCTTTCATTTCATCTTACTTTATTGCAGACAAGCACTTTTTAAGTGAATTTTTCCTAAACTCAACTGAGAATCGTAATTTGTACATGAGTTTCCGCTAAAACCATGCATCTGATTTGAAGAAAAAACCACCCTACAACACACAACATGACAATTACGGGCACCTAGTGGTCCTGAACATAACCAAACAGGAAAAAAAATACCTGTATATTCTTTTTCTGGTGTAGGCATTTTCTAAATGACACACTGGAAAAAATACTGTCTGTAGCACACCCTGCTATCTGCAAAATACACTAACAAACACAAGTCTGAAGCATTTGCTTTTCACAAGTTTTAAAAACACTCTGAAAGACTACAGTCTTCAGATAATAAACTTTTTTTTATTTAATAAACTGTCTTAAATAACTCCTGTATGCTTTTGGTTGCTGAGTTACAAGAGGAAAAAAAAACCCAACAGTTGCATCTACATTTCTGAAATGCTAGTTGCAATTAAGAGTGAAGTCTTCAGTGAATGTTTTTTTGTGAAGAGCAAAGAAATCCTTCAGAGTCTTAATATGAATCTTGGGGCAAGTTTGTAAATGGCAAGTTTTCATTACATCAAGGACACAAGTAAGCACAGAATAATCAAGTCACTTGCTTATGGTTTTCCAGTATAGCCAATCCCAAATGTTAGAAGTCACAAGTCAATTTCCCTTTGCCTACCTTTCTTACTCAGTCTCACATGAAACTCAACTGTCACTCATCAGTTGAAACTGTTGTTATCTGCGTAAGTTAAATAAAGCTGTGTCCCTAGTTCTGGCCTGGCATCTAAACTGTAGCATGCTTCTGTGCAAGACTAAGAACATGCCTTAAGATCCACACATTCAGTTACTTTTTTATTACACAGACTGAAAAAGAGTACTTTTACACTGTACTAGAGTATGAAAATAAGTTTTGCCTGTCATCCTCAGGAAGCGGTAGATAACTAAATTGATTTTCCCAAACAAGGCTTTTTACCTTGGTAGAAAAATGATTATGTACACACTTCCCTTATTCAGCAAATCTATTATCTGATGAGCATTCCTGTAAACTGCAGTTAACCACACTGCCATAGAACACGCTGCACAGGTGTTTTCCCTGCCATAAAATTCAAAGGCCCATTTGCATTTTAGTTGCTTTTTGATAAATGGAAAATATAACATAACCCACTTTTAAATGACTAATTCCTGCAAGGAAAGGCTAAGGCTTCATGTTTTACTTAACAGTAAATTTAAACACTTTTAGATGGGGGGGGAGCAGGGAGATTACTCTGTTAAGAGTTGCCACATTTACACCAAGCCAGATTCAAATGAAAGTTTCAAAAGTAGTTAAGGAAGAAATTATCAATCTCACTAACCTGAAGAATCAATCTCTCTCTATAGAGAACTTAGATGAAACATGAAACAACTGTTAGGCAACCTTCTGCCATTAACTTCTAGTATGCTTTGCAGTGCCTATTTAAACACAACACTGTTGGGTAACACATACACCCCTCCTCAATTTTAGAACAGGAATCGTGTATAGCAGCGCCCTTTCATTTGAAGCAACAGGGGACCCAGTTCCCGCATTAAAAATACAATGGTCCACAGACAACACAGGTCTGAAATTTTTGCTGACTGTTAAGCACAAGTAATTGAAAACTATTCAAATAGGCAGTAACAAATAAGCAACCAAGATTTTTCAGTGTTAAATATTTACATCAAGAGTGTTGGGAATGCAGACTTGAGTTGGAAAGAAACTTCGTATTTCTGTCATGACTCACACATTCTACAGTTGTGTAGAAACAGAACAACTAATACATTCATCTTCTATTAAGAACAATTTTGACATTCAGGTCTTAGGGAAGTAAAAGAAAAACCAACAACACACCAACAGTCTGCACTTACTTTCTTCATCTATTTTCAACTCTTCATTGTTTCTGATCTTCTCTGCAATCTCTTTTTCATTAAAGCCCTTACTTGCCAAAAATTTAATTTTATATTCATCCCAGGACACATGGCCTGTAAGAAAAAGCCACATCTCAGACATGACATAATGTGCTTAAGTGACAAACTTTTGCTCTCATTACTTGAAACAGTATGTGCTAAAATCTTTTGGTTCAGCACTATAACCATCACACTAAGCTTTATGAAAGGCAACGTGAAAACTATCACCTGATTCACTTTCATGTTTCTTTAGACCAGACAGGCCTTGTGAAAATAACCTATTTATGTCACCATCCTCAGCCCATCCCCAACAGAGCCACTTAACTTATTACAATTTCCTATGACCGCAAGTGAAATAACATAGCAGTCAACACAGAACTACAATGCTGACTGAAGCACATTACTTCTTTGCTCTATTATCTTCTGTATGGATCAAAACTGTTGTGATTACATGCAGTCCAGAGGAACTTGGATTTTGTCGCAGCACATCTGAAGGGCAGCCAGTAGGTTTGGCTACTAGCAACTGACTTAAGATGTCACCAGGAGATGGAGGAATCATTCATCTTACCATCGCCATCAGGGTCCACAGCTCGGAAGTGCATTTTATTCTCTTCCACAGCTTCCTGGAAATGTTCATCTGTCTTTTCCATGATCCAGCGCTGCATCTCTTTCGCACCTATCTTTTTATCATTATTTATATCCACCCTATGGATGAACAGCAAACAAGATTTAGATCTGGGGACTGGGGGAGGGGGGAAGGTGTGGTATCTTTTTAGATTCTAAATTAGTTACTTTATTGAACAATAACAAACATAGGTTGCTAAGGAAAAGAGTCTATTTATAACACTCTCTCAGAAGTTGTACATTCTTTGAACTACAGAGTAAACAAGTTAGCCATTTATTTCATAATTAAATTTAAGTAACTACAACATCTAGGTTACTACTCAGTGAAAAACAGACATAACTTACAGCAGAGTGAAGTAACTCATTTCAATATTATGTTTTTGAGTAATTTTTTTAAGTAGAGGAAACCACAAATACATCACTCATAGCATAGTAGCTCATTTCCTAGTGGTTCAGAATTGTCAACTGCCAGCTGCTGCAGACTTTCACTACTTTGAAAAATTTCTTCTCTAACATTCACTCAAGCCATTAACTCCGTCTGAATTTATCTTTCCAAGTCCTTTTTACCTTGATCTTCCAAGATATCTAGTTTACTGATGAGCTGCCTCCCTGTGCCTGCCTAGATCACAGCTGTCGTGACCATTAAAAACAATGAAAATATAATGTAAATAACCTTGGTGCAAGAGCTTTCAAACTATTTAATACTTTGACTGTAGTACTTCTAAGTGGAAAAAAACCAACCCAACCAAGTTTCCTCTATTATAACTTGATCTCTGGTAACAGATTAGAGCTGGTAAGTTTTTAATTCCTAACACATTTAAAAGTTCTGCACATACATTTGTTCTCCATTAGGTTTCTGAATTATCAGGCTCACTTTGCTTTGTTAAAGGATATGCTTGTAATCAGTGCTACTGAGCTACAGAACTAAACTTTTTCTACCTGACTAAAATTATCAGTAAACATCCAATCTGACAGTCCACTGTTCTCCTTAATTTAATACAATTAAGCAGTATTGGTAGTACGATATGCTGCCATACCATCATTTCCATTAACACCTATTTCATTAAAAAGAAGTTAATACAAAAATTACAGTTGAAGAACAAATACAAAAACAGTAACATGCCACTTTATTTTGAGTGTATCATTAAGTATCTATTAAGAAAAGATATAACAATATTTAAAACTGAAAAGACATTTAGGAGGACTTACATTTAGGAGGTAAGATTCTATTTAAAGCATACCAAAACCACTCTTGCCCAATTAAAAAAAACCAACAATAACAAAACCCCCCCACACACACAAAGAAAAACACAATAAAAAACCCCAGCTTGACTCTGGCTTTTTTATCTGTTTCTATCACTGTCTTAACAGTACTGAAGTGTTATCATTGAAACTCAAGTTATTAAATACGTGATTTGCCTTTAAATGTCAACTAAATGTTAAAACCTTAAGCCAAATAGCAACCCTAGCACCTAATCTTCTACAACATTTAGCTGTATTAATAAATGCAGTATTAGTGGTTTTAAATATTGTATCATATCTTTCCACATACATATACGCACAAGCTCAGTATTAGCAACTTTTCAGTATCAATGGCAAGAGCAGTAAAATGGTCATGTTCCACTCAATGCCACCTTGCATTTACCAGGTGAACAAATGTGGGTTTTGATACTGAATAGGTACTATCAAAAATGAGAAGGGAAAATAAAGCATTTTCCCCTCAACATTTAACATTCCAGTTTCCTTAGATCAAAGCTATCAAACACACTACTTCCAAGCTGTACTTTCCATCTAAATCACATTGTAACTAGGGAGAAAGGTAACAAACATCCCATTTATTGCTCTTCTAGCTCACGAAAGTACACCTTTGTTCTGCTACCGCAGTTCCACAATAAGTCTCCAATGACTCAGATTTTCACGAGCTAGCAGGCATCCACTGTACAAGGTGAGCTGAAATCCTTTCAGTGTCCACAAACAGCACTTCTGCTTTTGAGAGGAATATTTACAACTGTATGAAATACAAGATATGGTCCTGCTGTCAGCTTACCATCTAAGGTGATAAAAACAAGAGACTGTCCATGCTTCCTTAGCTAACTATCTCATTCAGAATGGACCAGTGAAAATATCTCCACTAATAACAACAAGCTTAGATAATTACGTGTTGCTGAACAACCTAATACTGGTAAGTCATGGAAAACTGATTTCGGAAGACGGTGATGGGCGATCACTTTGAGGCAGATAGGCCTAAACACTCAAAAAATATTAGTAAAGAGTGGTACATTCTAATGCACTCCTTAAAAAAAATTGCCAAAGAACAAGTACTGGCAAGAAATTTAAGTTCAAGAAAACAAGATGAATCTAAGTAAGAGTATCATCCCATATTACAACTTTGCTCAAACCTTCCTTGGCAAGCTACATACAGAAACCTTGTGACGATTTCTCAAACTTCATGATACACCAGCTCCACAAAAAAAAAAAAAAATCTTGATTGCTCTTTTTCTACAAGAAGCGTAGTTTTCTGCTAGAAGTGTGCTATGTCAGATTTGTAGAAACTCAGGTATATGACATACTACTACCTGAATTGACAGCAAAGAAAGTTTTTGCAAAAGCAGGGATTACCATTGGCATAAATTTGAATTAAAAACCAGACTCCAGAAAGCATTTTACCTTATTGCTTACCTGTCTCATTCCAGAGAAAATTATAGAAAAACCACAGCCCAGACAGTAGTTGATGCAATGTGATAAATGGCATTATATTAATACATTTCAGTAATGGGCAGCATCAGACATAACAGCTCTTTATACTGTCTAAGTTCAAGGTTAACACTTCACTGACTGTTCCAACTGTATTTCATTATTTATTCACAGACTAAATGTAAATACTACCTTCAAATAAGAAACAGGCAAGTATGCTACTTTGTAGGATAATTGTAAATTTTTCCTTAACAAAAGCCTATAGTAAGGGCTGCATTGAATACAGATGTCAAGCTTGGAAGAACAGTTTTAAACACTTCAGTGTAGTTTCTCAACCACAACCCATTAAAAATCAGATTTTTGGGGCCACCTTTCAAAAAGTCCACATCAGAAAGTATTATCAATAAACAATGGCCACTCGGGTTTTCAGATTCATGTTTTCGGGTTCCTAAATGACAACACTGCAATGCTGCCAGAGGTACTGGGGGGAAGAGGAAGGCAGTGTTCTTACCTAAAGGACTGAAGATAATTTCCTTGAGCACCTAATGCACATCACTTTAGAGCTGGTTTCTGTTTCACCCAAATAATGAAAAGCAGATCCAGAAAATAATTTTTAACAACAGAAACCAAAGCAAAGCTCTACTTTACATGGTAGGAAGTATGCAAAATTTATTAGACACATATTTAAATGTACAGGTTAGGAAAAACACAAGTCAGGGTACACACACTACTTAAAACCTTCCAATGGCATACAGCATAACTGAAGATATCAAAACAGGAAAGCTTAAAGCGTCCCTTCTGCTCATTCTTTATTCTGCCTGCTATTGTCCAACATCAGCTGTCATTACTAGCATCTTCTGCCATAGACAGAAGGCATACTAGTAGAAATGAATACTGTGTTAGGCTACGAGACAAACCTGAAATTAAGAAAGGGGGCATGGATCTTGCCAAAACCACTCCCCATGTGCAGTCTGAACACGCAGTCAGAGCTGTGAAACCTAAGGGAGCTACACTTACAAGCATTGTGGGATTCAGAACGAGTTCTGCTTTAGGAAAAGATAAGTTCATGACACTTAAACAAGGGGAAAACAAACAAACCAAAACCCCTCCGTACATGGTAGTATTTAACAGAAGGTGTATTTAAGCCTGTGACCTGATGAATGACCATCAAGGTAAGGCACTCAGCTAACACATAGATTTTCATTTTTAAATCACAACTAGGGCTGCTGCCAAGTAGCTGAAAACATCAGCAAAATGCAAATGCTAGAGGGATACTCAGCTTTCAAACTCACAAGAGGTAACTCCATCACCACAGAAAACACCCTGACAGAAAGCCACACACATTACATTCTTCTGTACTTTATCAGTTTTGTTCAATACATGTAATTTTAATTTACAAGATAAGTGACCCTTAGAAGCAAGGCTCACCAAACTGAATATACCCAATGCCATCAACACCCATCCACACAAGCTAAACTACATCATACAGAAAAAGAACAGAAAGTCTATAGAATCCAGGCTAATTTAAACTGTTTAAATAGAGACAACAGCAAACGTTTGGGGTTTGATTTTTTTTTTTTTTCAATTATGAGAACTATAAGAAGGATGGATGTCAAGTAAGTGCCTTTCACAGATTTTTTTGACCTGAAGGTACCTGAACACTTACCCTTGGCAGGGAATGAAGACTAAAGAGATGCACCCAGGATTTCCTGCACCATGTTCTAGTTTCAGAGGGCAAAGCAGACGTACTGGTTATCTTGTAAAACTTGTAGACAAGTAAGGCTTGTGCTCCCAGTAAAAAGTGAATTTAGAAACTGAATTACAGAATTATGAAATGCCACTTGTTCTTTCAGTCACATACAGCTTGCTTGCCTAGAGAATCATGGTTTGGAAAGCTTTTCTTCCATGTTTCAACTTTATTTTCAGTAATCCTACTGGACAATAATTTATGCTTTGAATTGACTACATCATACTGGCATACTGTAGAATCTCAGCTTTCATTAATTGAAAACACATTATGTCTTCTTTATGTCTTCAAAGAAAATATTTCTGAAGCATCTGGAAGCCTGTGACTTACTAGCTTTTCACAGAAGTTCATAGTATTTCTCCTTTCACTCAGCCTTCAAGATTACGTCTAGAAAGCAACCAAATTCCTCAGAATGCTTTTCTACATTTCTAATCTAATCATCTGATGGAATGTAATTTTAAGTATCTGGCTGAAGTTGATCTTGAATCCAATTGCTTTAAGCTTCCTAAGACAACCTCTTTCATAACAAACAGGCAGAAAAAAACTGTTTGCAATTTGTGAATGACAATTTACTAACCACAAGTTGAATGTTTCCAATAAACATACAGCAATAAAGAAAATGAAACCTAAGCACAATCTTAGTATTTGTTTATATCCTACTGTCCTGATTTCAGCTGGGATAGAGTTAATTATTTTCCTAGTAGCTGGTAAAGTGCTATATTTTGTGTTCAGTATGAGAAGAATGTTAATAACACACTGATGTTTTCAGTTGTTGCTAAGTAATGTTGAGACTAAGTCAAGGATTTTTCAGCTTTTCATGCCCAGCCAGCAAGAAGGCTGGAGGGGCACATGAAGTTGGGAGGGGACACAGCCAGGGCAGCTGACCCAAACTGGCCAAAGGGGTAGTGACGTCATGTCTAGTATATAAACTGGGGACAGTGGGGCTAGGAGGTATCGCCGCTTGGGAACTAACTGGGCATCAGTTGGTGAGTGGTGAGCAATTGCATTGTGCATCACTTGTATATTCAAATCCTTTTATTATTATTAATATTATCATCATCATTATTAGTTTCTTCTGTTCTATTAAACTGTTCTTATCTCAACCCACGAGTTTTACTTTCTTTTTTTTTTTTTCCCAATTCTCTCCCCCATCCCCCCCGGTTGGGGGAGAGCAAGTGAGCAGCTGCGTGGTACTTAGTTGCTGGCTGGGGTTAAACCATGACACCTACCAATGAAGTGAGTGGTCTGAACAGCAGACATAGTAATAAAGGATTCTACTCTAAATGAAAAAGGCACTCTGGTTTGCCTATTTGCTTTAGCTACATTTGCTTAAGAGAACACCAGAAAAAAAGAAATCCAATGTTATTATTGATATTTTTTCCCTGTTAATGAAAAGTTTGCAGAAAAAAAAGGTTTGTTAAGCCTTCTCCCCACACCATCATCATTAAAAGCACCAATGTAATTTAAGCTGTTTTAATAAAATTAAGCCTCTATTGCAAAAATGCAAATCAAGCCAATTCTGCCACCTAGTGTCTAAAAGTATGCACTGATTTTGATTTCCACTTCCATTATGTTTACTGACCTCTGCACATCTGACAGTTTATTAGCTGACACAAACCTTATCTAGCACAAGAAGTGCTTTATAAAAGGAAAAATGCTTTAATGTCGAAAAGTAAAGTTAATATTTTTGCACCAAGTAAAGAGCTAGATAAGTTTTCAAAAAGGCTACAAAAAAATTTTAATCTTTCTATTCTCATGTTTCATTCTCTTTTTCTAAATTCTGAGGAACTAAATGTTTTGTTAACAACACTGCTAACTTAATGAAGAAAGCTGTCATGTCAATTTCTGAATTCTTGGTATGTGCGGTTAGGCATAATTATTTTTAACCTTCATGTATTTCATTTGAGACACTCAAATTTTAGACACTCAGTATCAACTAGAAAGTTTCACGAACAAAAAGCAACTGTTTGCCTACCACAATCTTACCCCATTGTTGCTCTGTCCCTTTTCTTCCCTGTACTATTGTCTTTCCAGTGTTTCTCCTCTGCAGTTATTTGCAGAAGTCACAATAGAAACAAGATCCATATGGAATATAAGACCAAACAATAAATAGGAAACTCAGATTGCCAACTGAAACAAAACTTACAGCAAAGCAATAGAGCATACTACTGCTAGAACAAAACTGCAATGTATTGGTTTTATGTGGCAAGGTTTTGGTAGCGGGGGAGGGTTACAGGGGTGGCTCCTGTAAGAAGCTGCTGGAAGCTTCCCCCGTGTTCGAGAGAGAGCGAGCCCATACCAGCTGGCTCTAAGACGGACCCGCCGCAGGCCAAGGCCGAGCCAATCAGTAATAGTGGTAACGCCTCTGTGATAACATTTTTAAGAAGGAAAAAAGTTGGGACGCGGAGAAAACAGCCACCGGAGAGAGGAGTGAGAACATGTAAGAGAAACAAGCCTGCGGACACCAAGGTCAGTGCAGAAGGAGGGGGAGGAGATGCTCCAGGCGCCGGAGCGAAGATTCCCCTGCAGCCCGTGGTGAAGACCCTGGTGAGGCAGGCTGTCCCCCTGCAGTCCAGGGAGGGCCATGGGGGGGCAGATATCCACCTGCAGCCCGTGGAGGACCCCACGCCGGAGCAGGTGGGTTCCTGAAGGAGGCTGTGACCCCGTGGGAACCCTGCGCTGGAGCAGGTTCCTGGCAGGACCTGCGGATCTGTGGAGAGAGGAGCCCACGGAGCAGGTTTTCTGGCAGGACTTGTGACCCCGTGGAAGACCCACGCTGGAGCAGTCTGTGCCTGAAAAACTGCACACCGTGGAAAAGGACCCATGCTGGAGCAGTTCGTGAAGAACTGCAGCCCGTGGGAATGGCCCACGTTGGAGAAAGTTCGTGGAGGACTGTCTCCCGTGGGTGGGACCCCACGTTGGAGCAGGGCCAGAGCGTGATGAGCCCTCGCCCTGTGGAGG